TTATTCATTTTCTGCTTACTAATGATGTGGATGTGAGGTGGCTTGATTTTCATGTTAAAGGAGAACTATAGGGGTTATAGCTTTTCCTCCATAGTTCTCCTAAGGGTAACGGGAGGACACAAACTAGCGTCCTCCCATCACCCTAAGCTCAGTATACCGCGAGCTACACTCTGGCACCATACAAGCAATTGAGCTGCTGTTTAAAACTTTTTTTTCAAATAATTTATTGACTGAAAAAAAACATCAACTACAAAAAGCCATTGTAGGTGAATACAGAGTAAGTGCATAAAGTCTACAGATCTCGTAATAAAACGGACTACACCGTATCACATTTGCATAACCCGACATAAGTCACATCTGGATAAACATGACAGCTTCGTGCATCAACCATTCAACTCAATAGTACCATTCTGTACATTAAAGCTCTGCGACTTGAGTACTATTCCAGAGAGAAGCTGTGTCTCATGGTCAAAGGAAAGGTCATAGCAGAAAGGAATGGGAGAGGGTATAATGGGTCGGGTCCCGGCCGGGTCCCACGTTGCCAGCAGGGGTCCAGACTTGTGAAGGTGGAAAGGGGTTCTGGGCAGAGGTTCTGTAGCACAACCACGGCCCCCAGGTGGCATTAAAGCGAGCTTCCGTGTTTTTCAGCGAGGCGGTTAGGTCCTCAAGTTGGTAAGTATCCTGGACTCTGGAGAGCCACAACCGGACTGAGGGTGGGAGGGGATCCCGCCATTTCAAGGGTATGCACGCCCTAGCCGCGTTCAACAGATGATGTGTCAAAGAGCGTTTATATCTGGGGATCGAGTGTTTAGTCAGATGCAGCAAGCAGGCTGCTGGGTCATCCCTGAGGTCTGCCCCTATCAGGGTCTCAATCAGCTCCAGTACTTGTCTCCAAAATGACTGTATCTCAGGGCATGTCCAGAAGATGTGTAGCATCGTACCCGACGCCCCCCCCCCACATCTCCAACACAGGTCCGGGATCAAGCTATTCATTTTATGGAGCAACCACGGGACCCTATACCAGCGTGTCAGGATCTTATATGCCGACTCTTGGTATCGATTTGCTATTGAGGCTTTGAATGTCATCGCCAGGATAGTGTCTCTCTGTTGCTCCGTGAACGTACACTGTAGCTCCGATTCCCAGTTGTGCAGGAAATGCAGCGGTACATCCCCCGCGGGGTCCTGTAGTAGCTTGTATAATTGGGATACTGCGTGACGTGTAGGAAGCTGGTCTAAGCATAACTGTTCGAATACCGTCAAGGGTCTGTCTAGGAGGGTCGCATTCGGTATAGCCCTGAGGAAGTGTCTTAGAGAGAGGGAACCCCAAAAATCTACCGGGGGATCTGTGAGGGACTGTATATCCGGAATCTGCAGTCAGTCCTCTGGGCCCCTGAAGTCCCGAAGGCGGAATTCCTCCCTGCGGAGGCACCATTCAAGAAGTCTGGACAAGTGTATGGCGGAGTAGTATACGGACATGTCCGGCAGTCCTACTCCCCGCTCTATTCCTGGGTAGTGATAGAATGCGTCTGCTCAACCTGGTGGTCTTACAACCCCAGATGAACGAGATCATGTCCCCATAAAGCTTTTGAAGAATTGGGCTGGCAGACTGATAGGGAGCGCCTGCATAAGATACAAGACCCTCGGCAGTATGTTCATTTTCACCACGGCGCAGTGTCCCAGCCAAGAAACATGGAGGGGGCGCCAGGCTTTAAAGTCCAGGGCTATTCTCTGTAGTAGTGGAAGGAAGTTGGCGGAGTAGACTTTATCCAGGTCCCTGGGGATCAACGTACCCAGAGACTGGAGATGGTGTAACTCCCAGCGAAACAGGAAGCAAGGCTTCAGGAGATCAATTACCTCCGGATGCACCGTTCTATTGAGAGCTGCCGACTTGTGGCCGTTGACTTTAAAATTTGAGAGCTGGCCATAGATGGAAAAAGCCTTGAGCAGGTGTGGTATGGAAGTCGTCTCTGGGTTCGTAAGGTAGAAAAGGAGATCATACGCGTATGCGGCCGCCTTGTGGTTCCCCGAGGGAGTGTCCAGCCCCGTGATATTCGTGGAATTCCGCACGGTGTGAAGGAATGGTTCTAAAGTGAGTGCGAAAATCAGGGGGGGATAACAGGCAGCCCTATCTAGTCCCGTTAGGAGGAATACCTGTGATCTAGTTTCATTTACACGAACCACAGCCGTCGGGGCGGAATACAGTGCCATTATCCACGCCAGCATGTTCTTCCTCAGACCAACGTGGCGGAGAACCCCTGACATAAAGTCCCAGCTCACTCTATCGAACGCCTTTTCTGCATCCGTAGAGAGTAGTATCATCGGGGTCCCACTATCCTGGCCTGGTGAACAACATTGAGGGTTCTGGTGGTATTGTCCTTTCACTTCGCGCGCCGGCATGAATACCACCTGGTCCGGATGAACCAGTTGAGGAAGAAAAGGCAGCAGTCTGTTGGCTAGGATCTTGGCAAACAGTTTTAAGTCTACATTGAGGAGCGCAATTGGGCGGTAGTTATTGCAAAGGGTGAGGTTCTTATCTGGTTTTGGGATCACCGTGATCCATGAACGTAGAGTGTCCACAGGGGGGGAGGACCCGGTCAGAATGGCATTCTAGGCCTCCAGAAAGGGACCCATCAGGGTGTCAGAAGTTTTTATAATATGGGAGCGTGAAGCCATCTGGCCCAGGAGCCTTTCCCGCACGGGCAGACTTCCGCGCTAACTTCAGTTCTAAAGGCTGGATCGGGGTTTCCATGCTATCCCTCTCCTTGGCCGTAAGGGACGGCATCCCTGAGGCCCTGAGATATTGCTCAATGGCATCCAGTGGCGTCTGTCCGTAAGGTGAGGGGGGAGAAGACCCCAGGTTGTACAGGGACGCATAATACGACTTCAATTCAGCCGCAATATCCGCAGACACCACCACCTTATGGCCCGAGGAGGTGATTACGTGTAAAATATGGGTCCGCCCCTGGGATCCCCGGAGAGCATTGGCCAACAGTCTCCCCGGTTTGTCTGCGTATTCATAGAAAGTCCTGCGCCCTTTGAGCAATCTACCCTTGACTCTCTGAAAGATTAAAGCGTTCAGTTCGGTCCGAACCTCCATCAGCTCTGCCCCCGCTTCCACTGCCTGTGATCGCTTATGTTGAGTCTCCAGTGCACGGAGACGATTCAACAAAAACGAGATCCGAGAGGACAATTCCCTCTTCTTTTGCGCACCATGTTTGATAAGGATTCGTCTTTATGAGATTCCCATATCATGAACGGAGGAGCTGAAGAGGGGGCATTAGAGGTAAAAAAGGCTTGCAGTTCAGTGTAAAGGTCAGATTGAACCACAGGGTCTTGTAAGAGTGACTAATTGAGTCTCCAAGATGGGCAAGGAGATCTCGGGGCTAGTAGATCCAGAGTCGGGTGTAAAGGAGCGTGATCTGACAACAATATGTTGTCTATAGAGGCTCCCCGTACCAGTGAGAGATCTTTGTGTTGTACAAATAGATAGTCAATTAGGGAGTATCTTTGGTGGGGGGGCGGAGAAGTACGTAAAATCCTTCCCCTTGGGATGGCAAAACCTCCAGGTGTCAACTAAGTAAAGAAGGTGCAGTTCAGCCTTCAATTTCCGCAGACATCTGTAAGATAGGTGGGAGGTCCCCGTTGAGACATCCCATAGTGGTTCAAGCGGAGAATTTGAGGTCCCCTCCCATAAACAAGACCCCTTCCATAAATTCCAAGAGGTGAGGTATCAGGTCTTGAACAAACCCCAAGTGATCAGTGTTGGGAAAGTAGACGTTGGCAAATGTAACCTGGGTATCTCACAATTTTCCTTTTTAAGGAGAATAAATCGCCCGTTAACGTCTAGCAGTTGGCTCCCAAAAGTCCAGGGGACGTCCCGTGATATCAGTATACTCACGCCTTTGGATTTGGAAAGGGGGAGGGGCAGTGGTATGACCAAGGGAAGTCTCTGTTAAGGAGTGTGGGGATCTTTTCACTCTGAACATGGGTTTCCTGGATAAATACCACCTGAGATCAGACATCAGTCTAGACCGCTTCTCTGGGATGTTAAGCCCGCGGACATTCAGAGATGTCACCTTAAGGGGCCCCATGGCAGCAGCGGAAGGTCGTGGGGACCGGCTCGGGACCAGAGACGAATAGGTGGTGAGGTAGGGGAAGAGAGAAGTAGAAGGGGAGAGGGGATTGAAAGCCCAGAGAGGAAGCAAAGAAGTAGTGAAAGGCCAAGAGACAGTGCGTTATGTAGAATACAGTACTAGTCGGGTAATCTAAATTTCAAGTGCAAAACCCGTTCTAAGGTGAGCGGGGTGAACCTATGTGGGGGTGGGTACCAGCAAGGGTAATAGAACAGCAATAAACGTGTATAAGGCCAGGAGGTATTCCCCGGAGCGTAAGTATCATTGCTAAGTAACCCCCAGCATGCATGCAATCATACACATCCTGGATCCATATGAACAGGACAATTCTTGTCTTCCATACAGAAAGCTTGATGTAATAATAATAACAAATGCTGCTAAAAATATGCTCATAATTGAAGCTGCCTTGGAAATATAAAGCTGATGCTAATCCTGGAAGTACACAGGCCACAGGCTTAAGAAAATACACTCCTATTGACTCTTTATGGTGTTGTCCTTCTATCTACAGTGTATTACAAAACCCAAATAACAGTAAATTGGGTGTAGTTTTGATTTGAGCACAGTTGTAGTGTTTGGTGAAGAACAGTGAATCGGCTCACTGATTTTGATTTTCAATTTTTGCTTTGTGTTACTGATGATTTATTTCCTCATTAGCCATTCGTAGTACCAAAGAGCGAGAGAGACATTCACATACCATTATTTTTAAACCATTCCATGGGTAACACTATTTTGCTTCTAGATGACTTTGTGCTTTTGAATGTCCTATACATTATTGTAATAGTTACTGTAGTTAATAAAATTGTTACTACATTTTTTGTTTTTGTTTTTTAAGATGAAAGATTAACTTTATTTGTTTTTTTTAAACAGATATCAAGAAGCCTCCCATAGCTCCAAAGCCAAAACATGCATCAGTTCAAAAACCTATCCCACCACCAGTTGCTCCTAAGCCAGATGTAGTTCAGGCCAAAGTGTCACCAGCTTCAAAGAAATTAAAGCCAACAATTGCTCCAAAGCCAAAAGTCCTTCAAAGTCCATCTGTGTCTGAAGAGCAGAGACAAAGCAACGTTAAATCAAATGGTATTAACAATGATGAATACCAAGATGTTGAATCTGAAAAGGTCAGTTGTAAGCACGAAACATCGGCCAACAACAAAATCTCAACATATATCATTTCACCTTGTTCCTGCAGTTTTGACTGTGATCACAAGCTTGGAAATGGGGATTCCTTTCAGAAAACCCAAAAGGTAATAGAACAGTTGGAAAACTTGGAAAATAGGAAAGTGTGTGGGCAGCCAGTTCCTTGTGTAAGAACAAGATGGAATTCTTCCAGTCAACAGGACAAGCTTGCTAAAACAAACCAAGTCATTCTGAGAGCCAGTATTTTAGAAGACAAGGTTAAAGATGTCTTGACTCATAATCTCTTTGCCAATGGATACACTTGCAAACAAGAGAACTCTGAGAAAAGCATTAGGACGAAAGTTGTTGTAAGCTCTACAGAATCAAGTGAAAGTGACTTGCCTTTTTCAAATATAGATGGGCCTGCTAGTAATACAAAAAAACATAATTTATCAGTCAAAGAGCCTGCTGCAGCTCCTTCTCTGGATGTTGTTCTAAATAATCCAGAGCACAAAACCATTGATCATGTGAAAGAATGCAATGGTATGCCACTTGACAAAAGGCCTTTATCAACAGAACACTGTGGAAGGTCCAAATTTCCACCACGAGCTCCACCTCCTCTTAAATCACTTCCAGTTCCAAAACCAAGGAAGTTGCGAACCCAGTGTCTCGTGAGACAAGATTGTGTGGATGGCACTGCAGAAAACAATGGTGATCAGGTAACTATAGGTGATAGTCCTCAAACAAACCTTCAGCAAGGACAGAATGAAGTGGATCAAGCTAATGATGAATACATTATATCTAAGACTTTAGATTCAAAGCATCAGAATATTCAAGAGTGTGAATCTAATGTTGGCAGTTCAAGTACAGATCCGACTCCAACTGGTCTTGAAAATGAAACTGAAAGTAAGTCTGAGGAAGATAGTAATTTTAAAAGGTGCAGTTCCCTGTCAATGAGCTTACCTAAACAACTGAAACTTATTTATGAACAGCTGCCAGTTAAGAATGCAGCCGTGGAAAAGAACCTTGCTTCCAACACACCAGCTGCAGGTTCGCCAAGAGTTGCTCCAAAAAAGCCTCAAAGATTCAGCTTGCCCGCAGCTGGCCTGCTTAAGAAAGCTGCTTCTGAGGAAAAACTTCACAGTTCCAATGACAGCAGCTCTTATGGTACTTTAGGGCAAGGAGAGACTTCCCAAAATCAATCACAGATTTCAGAAAAACCATCATGGAAGTTGGAGCACCCAATCTTACCTTTTCTAGGAAACCCAGAATTGCTCAAAACTTCTTTAAGTAATGACAGTACACATCCACTCACCAAGCCTAGAGCTAAGTCTTTGTCTTCCGTTGACATGAACAGAATAGAAAACCACACTAACGAAAGTCCTAAAAAAAATACATTAAAGAAGTTCCTTAACTTTAAACTGTCTGTTTGCGTCATAAAAAATGACTTTCAGAAATTTTTATCCCGTGGCAGTTTGTCTTTGTCAGGAGACAACAGCACCTCTGATATATTTTCCTGTGCTGGACACTCGACATCACCAACTTTAGAGAGGAAGATAAAACCTTCAAAAGCACATTCCGCTGATTCCTTCAGTCCGCTGTCCAAGAAAAAACAGAAAAACAAGAGTGACTTCAGTACTGTAAATAACCCCAGCTCAAAGTCTTTAGATGACAGTTTGGTATCACTACAGAGACCACAGGTGGCATCTTCAGATGAGATCCCAGAGCTTGATATTCCACAGTATGAAAATATATGTCACTATGAAGAAATCCCGGAATATGAAAATCTGCCATTTACTGTAGTTTCAGACTTAAATGAATGTGATGCAACTATTTATGAGGTCGAAGACCCAGTTGAATCTGTTCATCCTTCAAAGGGCTTCCACGTTAACCACAGGTAGGTGTCACACTTTATTTCTTGCTTTTATCCGACTCTAGTATTTTACTTGGTTTATTTGACTAGATATGTAGGTGATTAGTGATTTCAGTCCAAATATTATACATTCAATATTGTCGCTCACTTATAACTGATTCTGTTCTTTGTCTTGGACATACTTGTATCTTCACAATAAATATTACTATTCTCATGTGAAATTGCTTCAGTTTGGTCTTGTTCATTAACTAAAATTGCTCTAAATCCCTGTTGGCCTAGAAATGTTTTGTCTCCATAATGCATTCTCCAGTTTTGATGTCTCCTGGTGCTGAAATTACTACTCCTTATGATGCAAAAGGGTATTAGCAGGGGCGTATGTACCACAAGGCAAACTAGGCAAACGCCTATGTTGTGAAGAGGAGGGGCGAGCCGGAGCCCTTCTGTGTGTAGGAGTAGAGGGCGGCTTGCCTGCTTGTGAAGAGGACGGATGGAGCCGGACAGCGCAGCCGACGGATGGGATCGTGACTCAGAAAACAAAAAGCAGCCAGCGGCCACATAATCGATCTTACTGCTTCCCGGGTCAGGAAGCAGTAAGATCGATTATGTGGCCGCCGGCTGCTTTTCGTTCTCTGAGTCACAATCGCATCCGTCGGCTGCGCTGTCCGGCTCCCGTCCTGAAGTGATGAAGTGACGGCAAGCAGACCGTCCGGCTCCCGTCCTGAAGTGACGGTAATCGCGTGCGGGGGGGCGGGGGTGGTTTGGTATCGGTGCAAGTCCCCCTTGGGGGGGGGTGATAGTAAGGTGCCGGGGGCGGCCGAAGCTTGGCTTGCCTAGGGCAGCCAAAAACATAGATACGCCACTGGGTATTAGGGGAAAAAAATCACCAATAAGCATGCATAGCGTTGAGTTATGTGCACTTGATGCTAATTTTTCTTCCTGTTTGTAAGCTACAGCAGTGCTTTAGTTGGATGTTACAAGATGTTTTTCCAGCAAGGTGTGCACGTTTCTTAGGCGGATAAGGAAGGAACTGGTTATACACATTAAGATTATTCTAAGTAAGGTAGAACTGTGGCCTCCCAATTAAAACATCTGTTTTGTAGCACCTAATTAGAAGTGCATCTGCACTTACACTTTTCTCTTCCTTCTGCAAAGTTTCGGAGAACCTACCAGGGAATTCCGCCTCATGCAGCTTCCTCTAATGATGGGGCAATGATGCTGTACTGCTCCTGAATTAAGAGCAGAGTTTCCACTTGGCTGTGCCTGCTTGCACTGTAGTGAAATGAAAACATTTTGCAGTGAGTAGGGCTATCGGGATTGTCACTGCTGATTACAAGCCTGTAGCTTATCAATTAAAACCTGATCACACATAGTCCTCCCCACTCCTTTTTAATGGACAGCACTGCCTCTGTAAGTAAAACCCTCCCACTGTGAGCTGCAGTGTCTGTGAGTGGGAGCATGGGAGACACAAATGAAGGAGAATTTGGTTGATTTAGGGAATTTACTGTATTTGGTACTTGTTTAGACTGTCATACAGAAGCCTTTTAGCTGAACTTTAAATGGAACCTGAACTGAGAAAAATATGAAGGCTGCCATTACTCACTTGCTTCTGAAAATGCTAGATGCCTGGTTGTCTTTGGTTTGATACGTTCTGACTCCTTTTCCTAGAATAAACATGCAGCCTGGGATGCCAGAATTAAGTTCTGACCTGTATACTTGGATCAATATAACAGCCATGCAATTAGCAATTTTAAAAGATCTTTTTTTAAGCAATGGCAGCCTATGCATTTTCTCAGAACAGGTTTCTTGTATGCATCAACTAACATATTTTACAAGAGGGGACCATTAAAAATTATACATGTATAATTACATCAGAGTATTTTTATTTCTTATACTAAATAAGTAATACATGGTGACATGTCGGGTAAGAGTGGTAGAAATGAAACAAACAGTGCTGCCTAAGGCCCCACTCATACCTGTAAATGGGGCCGATCGCATGAGTTTCACAAATCCCTCTGTGAGACTCGTGATCTGCTGCAGACAGGAGGCAGTGTACAATATGTTGACAGCTGCCGCCTCCCACAGCTGTTGCATGTAATCACACAGACTATGTTGACCTGCAGACGACCACACATGAATGCGGCTTGCATCCAGGTGTGATTGTCTGCAGGTAATTGCAGCTTGTACAATTGAATGAAAACCGCTATGGGCGATGGCAGACGTCATTGTTTTGTACACTGCCTCCCACCCGCTGCAGATTGCATGAGTCTCACAGAGGAATTTGTGGGACTCATGCAATTGCAGGTCTGAATGTGGCCTAAAAGGCAGTGTGTGTAAAACAGGAGAGCGCTTAGAATATGAGAACTATATAGAGGTGCCTGTGCGGCTTTCGCATTTTCTGCAGAAGACGTGTATCTAAACCTCCTTAGCCATGAGCTGGCTGGTGAGTGTGCTGGAAAACTTTTTGCTGTTAGAATATGAGAACGGAACGATCTTTATGAAAATTGTGATGAAACTGCTATGTAATCTACCATTGGGACGTTTGGTCTGAGACTGTGCCCAGGACCTTTCCTTTCTCCTGGGCCCTATAACTTCTGTATTAGTTGCTTTTGGTTACAGTCATACCAATATACCCATAGGTATTGGCTGCTGCTGCCATTTAATTGTGTAGTTCAAGAGCTTGGGGCATTGATTAAAGTATTTAAGCACTGAAAATCCCAGAAAAAAACGTCGGAACTGTTTAGCGTGCTGGCTGTTTCTCGGTGTTTTATTTTTGTGTGTGCACAAAACGGTGTTCAAGGGAATAACCTTTTCATTAGGCATACAGCGTACTGTTAAAATTGTTCTGTGGTGGAAGAAGACATCCTAGTTTGTGGCTCTGGCTTTTTGCTTTCATTTGCACAATGGGCAATTGTTTGATGGCCTACAGTACATTCAGAAAGTATTCAGACCCCCTTCCCTTTTTTTTTACAATTTTGTTGTCGCAGCCTGATACTACAGTTGTTTAAATTTTTTTTTTTCTCAATCTACACTCCGTGCCCCATAATGACAAAGTGAAAACAGAATTTTTTAAAAAGGTCTTTGAATTTATTAAAAAAAAAAAATTAAATATCACATGTACGCAAGTATTCAGACCCTTTACTCAGTACTTTGTTGAAGCACCTTTGCCAGCAATTACAACCTCAAGTCTATTTGGGTATGATGCGACAAGCTTCGCACACCTGGATTGGGGGATTTTCTGCCATTCTTCTTTCCAAATCCTCTCAAGATCAGTCAGGATGGATGGGGACCGTCAGTGGACAGTCATTTTCAGGTCTCTACAGAGATGAACCCTATTGAACAAGTCATGGTTCTGGCTGGGCCACTCTAGGACAATTACAGAGCTGTCCCTAAGCCACTCCTGTGTTGTCTTGGCTGTGTGCTTAGGATCGTTGTAAGGTGAACCTTTAGCCCAGTCTGATGTCCTGAGCGCTGTGGGACAGTTTTTCATTGAGGAGATCTCTGTACTTTGCTCCATTCAGCTTTCCCTCAACCCTGACCAGCCATCCTATCCCTGCTGCTGAAAAACACCCCCATAGCATGATGCTGCCACCACCATGCTTCACTGTTGGGTTGGTATTGGGCAGGACCCTGGTTTCCTCCCAGACATCACATTTAGAATTGAGGCCAAACCGTTGCAGTCCTTCAGGTGCTTTTTTGCAAATTCCAAGCAGACTTTCGTGTGTTTTGCACTGAGGAAAGGCTGTCGTCTAGCCACTCTGCCATAGGGGCCAGATTGGTGGAGGGCTGCAGTGATGGTAATCCTTCTGGAACTTTGAGGCCACTGTGCTCTTGGGAACCTTCAGTTCACCGGACTCCTCCCCCCTTCGTTAGCCGACGGAGCCACTTGGGCCGGTGAGTTTGCCCAAGAAACTTGTTCTGCACGAGCGCCAGCCAAGGCATTGGCCTATACACATACAGCACAGCAATGAAGTAATAAAATGAACTAGGATCACACTAATCCAGCATGTTATTATTCTGAGTTGCCCCACTCAAGCGGCGGCCATATTGAGTGGGGCACCTGAGATAAATAACGTGCTGGATTAGTGTGATCCTAGTTCATTTTGTTACTTCATTGCTGTGCTGTATATGTATATGCCAATGTAGTTGGATCTGTATGTGCGTTTATAATTAATCGATTAAAAAAAATTTTTGATTAATCGAACATGAAAATTTTAATTCATTACCAGCCCTAGTAAACAACTGTAGTACCGTGTTTCCCCGAAAATAAGACCCTGTCCTTTTTTATATATTTTTTTATCCTAAAAAAAACACACTAGGTCTTTTAAGGGGATGTCTTCTTCTTCTTTTTTTTTTTCTTCTCTTCAGAATGTCCACTGTGTTTTTATTTACGGACCTTAATTGTATGGTAAGAATGAGAATAATACTGTTGCTCTTTCTTTCTTTTTCTACTGGTCAGTATCGGTAATGCTGATCCCTTTCTTTCACTTTCACAGGCGGATTGCATCTGGTATCACTCCGCCTGTCACAATAATCGGCGCTATAGAGGAAGTATCTGCTAATGCGGCCGTGCTCCCGTCGCAGCCTTGCTTTCTACAGAGGCTGCTTCCTTTGCCATCAGGGACAGCGGTACCAGGGGTGCAGCAGTGGGGACATCAGAGAGTGGACAGCGGTACACATTACAGTACCATTTACATTAAGCAGTGCCTTTTAGGGGGACAGCAGTTGGTGAAGTATGTCATCCCCTTAATTAGGGTTGCACAGATACCAAGTACAGTACTCGGTACAAGTACGAGTACATGTACCGATACTTTTGAGCTCCAAGACTACACTAGAGAAAAATTCAAAAATTAGGAGGCAGCTGTGATTTGTAAGGAGCACACGGAGCTCCTGGGATTTGTACATCTCTGTTTTAATGTACGATTTTGTTTTTACAAATATAAATAAAGGGATCCACAGATACCAGTTTGGCGAGTACGAGTACTGGTACTTGCCGAGTACTTACAAGTACGAGTACTGATACATTT